GGATCGGTTGGTTGGACTGCGGCTGGCTGGGGAGAATCTGGAGTGATGGTCGGCTGAGTCTCGGTCGGCTGAAAGGCAGTTGGGACTGTGGTCGGTGGCAATGAAGGATCCTCTGGAACGAGAACCATTAAAGTTAAAATGACATATACTGAAAGGAAAAAATGAAAAGGTAAGAACATACCAAATTGCTCTCTCAAGTATTTTGGCAGCCCGCTTGTATCCATTGGCAGAGACGTCAGGTACTCCTCGATGGCCTGTCTATCAATGACAGGGGCGGCCTTCTGCTTCTTCTTTTTTGTTCCGGACCCATCTGTGGCGGGCGCCTGCCTTTTCCTTCTCGGAGCAGCGGCTAATCGAGAAGAACCTAGCGCTAAGGCTGGGGGTGGGACAAGTTTCCCGACCAATTGGTCGGTTGGAGGAGCAATTAGGGACCAAATGGATGACCACCAGGTCGGGAAGGCCTCAGCCGCCGAAGGTTGTGGGCGGAAAGGTAAGTAAGAATTGGAGGTGATGTAGGCGGTGAGTTGAGAGAGATAGGTCAGGATAAGCTCGGGGATCACCAGCCCTTCCGGGCTTTGAAGTATAAGGTGAGGTCGGGCTAGTGGTCCCGGCAGGCCCTCACAGCAGTCGAACTGTTGGGCCAAAAATTGAGGCTGGTAATTAAAAGTATAAAATGATCTATAATTTTTCTTATCCGAATTCTTACTAGAAAATAGAGATCGGGGTTTCATGGCGGAGTCCCAAGAAAAGGGATAGGTCGGATGGGGATGAGGATCAGGATACGATCGGGGATCAGGTGCGTCGGGGCAAAGCCAAACAAGATCGGTAGAATATTGTACAAGGGTTTCATATACATAGAAGCGGGAGTTGGTACGGTCTTCGGTCAAAATTTGGGTGATGATGGGGTCAGATGGATGGAGACTAAAGGAATTAGAAGTTAATCTGGCCAAGGCATAACCTATAGACCTTTGGGGGTTCGGGGTTATAGGAAGTCGGCCGAAAAATGCGGTCGGGAAGTAGAGGCGAAGCCACAGCTCCAGGAACCAAAATGGTCCCGAAGCAGCTTTGTCCGCCTTATTGGTATCTGTCAGGCGGGTGCTCACTTGGGTTAACCCCTAAAAAAGGTTAGCCAAAAATAGGGTTCCTAACGAAAAAAATTGGTTGTTGGCCAGGTGAATGGCCAAGTCGACCTGGAAAGAAAGGACGAGTTTGGAGGGGGAAAGAATGATATATTTGTAAAAAAGAAAAAAAACAACTAAATATCCAACTTTGAATTTACATAAAAGCATAAGGAACAGAAAATGTACCTGCACAACCAAAAAAGGAGGAACGCTGTGTGTTCCAGCTCAAATACAAAGGTGCCCTCTTTACCCAAGAATCTGGTAACAAAACTGGTCCAGCTTCTCTCTTTTTCAGGGAGTTTAGCGAGGGCCCAACCAGCGTGGTCAGGTGAGGGCTCCGACCTTCAAAAGAAACCAGAACGGGATCATCACCTACTATAGGCAAATGGGCAATGATGGCCACGTCCATCAGGGTCAAGCCAATAGGGCCATCAGGGAGGAAGAAGACGCCCATTTAGGAATGTCAGAAGGCTGCCATTGCTAGCAAGGCCTTGTCGTGAAGATAAAGGGGCTGAGTCGAAAGGAGGATGGCTTTGTCAATACCTTGCCTCCTCCATTGTTCTTCAAAGTGGGGGAGGAGTCTTGCGTGCCATTTGCGAAAGGCGTCTTTGGGATCGGTGAGGTGAGTCCTAATGCTGTCCAGCAGATGTTTCGGCTTAAACGTAGCATTATTAATGATTATCGGAGAAACTTGGGAGATAACAAATTTCATGCGATTTGCATCCTCTCTGGTGATGCAATGAGGCAGAACGGTGGGGGTGAGAACCCTCGAAGCCACAAGGGGCACCGAGGGATCGGTTCCATCAAAAGAGAGAGCAGGAATATATTGATTGGCCATTTTCAAAGGAAATGAAGAGAACGAAGGAGAAGAGGTTTTGGAAGAGGATGATTGCTAAAGAGAAGAGAAGCGTTTCAAGATTTTAAGTGTGTAAGTGTGAAAGGGTGAGAGAAGGGTTTTACATAAATCCCGCGATGTGACATGAAACAGTGTAATGATAGCACTGTGCTGCAAACCCCTAAACGTCACGTCTCACACGGCCCGAGAAGTGACGCTTAGGAGTCGGGCAGGAGGAGGCAAGTTGTTGAGTAAGAAAAAAACCAATGTGTAGGGTTTTTGGGAATGGGCTTATAAAATTGGATTAAGGATTTGTGTAAAGTCTAATGGGCCTATTAATGACAGTGAGATCCTAAATGGGTCTGAATATAAGCCAAACGGCCCAAGAGTTATTAAGAAATGGGTTTTTCGGGAGAAACCTATGATTAAGAGGTTGGACAAGAAGAGGTCGGACGAAAAAGAGAAAAACAATATGCACTCAGGTTGTGTGGCATATAGGTCAGACAAAAGAAAGACGGACAAAAAAAATGAAACGGCCGATGCTGAGATTGGGCAGAAGGAAGACAAGAGAAAAAATGAGACGGCCGATATAGAGGTCGGGCAAAGTGTAAGGCAGACCTTGCAGTGGGTATGCAGGTCGGGCCAGCCACCCAATTAAGGCGGTAAGGTGCTTAGAAGCGGTCGGCCGAGCCAGTTGAGCGCTGTAACAGGTGTGAGCGGTTGGTGAGTCGGTTAAGACACGTGTCAACAAAGGAAGACCTTGAGGGCGGTTGACAGCGGTTTCTGTAGGGCGGTTGAGAGGAGTTACAACCGACGAGCGGATATGAAGACACGACCTGGTTGTGGCGGTTGACATGAGTTTTAAATAGGTCTTTTCGCGGCCTAAAGAAACCATCTTCAATCGATAACAAATTCAGTGAATTGCTTTTGGGGATCGCCATTTAATTTTTCAGTCTGTAGTATTTATTTTCCTATTTTATTTATGTATCGTACGGTGTCTAGAGATTTTTAATCTCAAACATTTATTTTATCAAATTCGAAGATAATTTTTATTTTTGAATTTTACTTTTTTATTGCTAAAAATTTGCATAAACAATAATACAATTATAATGATATTTTTGTAATATATTATAAATTATAAAATTATTTATAACCCAATAATAAATGACAATGTTATTTTGGGCATAAAAAAATAAAAGAACAAGATGGAGGAATATATAATTGTGTTACTAGCACTATAATATTTTACAAAAATATATGAAAGACATTTAAGATCATAAATATGGTATTTTGAATCCAAAGATATTTGTTTAATATAGTTAATTAAGTTACAAAAACAAATATTGTACTGTAAATTGCATATTTAAAAAATTACATTATGGTGGTTATTTATTTATTTATTTATTTATTTTTAAGTTTGTGTTTATTTTTGGTTTTATAATTTGATTAAAATAATTATTAAATAAAATATTTTGTATAGAAAATAAATATATTTTCATATAAAATCAATGATGCTGCAGAGTAAATAAACTTAAATATTTTAAAATTTACAAAAAGTCTAAAGTTTTTTTTTTTTTTTCATTAAAGTAAAATAGTAAGTGAATAATGTTAAAAATTATATAGTCCCTTCGTTCCAAAATTATGTTTGACACGAGATTTAAGGAATATTGATATTATATTGGCAGTGGATAAAAGCTACGGGTAAAAGACTTTTTTGCTCTTGGAATGTATTACTATAAAAAATAGTGGCATTTGTGTAATAATAATGAAAAAGTAAGGGTAGTTTTACAATCATATGATTATTTATGGAAATGAGACTATTGTTTTGGAACGGACAAAAATGGTAAACAAGTCTATTGTATTGAAACAGAGGGAATATATATTTTGGAATAAATCTTCTATCTTAAATTTGAAAATTTCAAAAATAATTTGGGCTTGTTTGATTTCTGGTTATATTTTTATTTTTATTTATATAAATACCAGATTATGGTTAAACATAATTATGTAAAAAATAATACTCCCTCCGTCAATTTACAATGTTTACATATTTTTATTTTGGGACGTCTAATTACAAAGTAAACATTTCATTAAATACCCTACTTTTTTCCACAAATACTTTTATTTTACATCACATAATTACTTTTACACAAAAAAATAAAAACAAAAATATCATTACACTACTTTTAACTACTCATATGGAGGGTACTATAAATATATATAGACAAAAAATTATTTTTTAATATAAATTGCACCCCTACCGTCCAATGTATCTTTTAATATTTTTTTATTTTGGTATATTTTACTATAATATTATTAAAATAATAAATAATTAATTATATTTTATCTTTTCACATTGAAATAATATATATACACTTATATCTAGTCATATCATTTATTTTTTCAATTTATTATACTCATCTAAATTTTTATGTCAAAATTAAATACTTCTTCCGTGAATCTTTGGAGGTTTTGTAATTGATTAAAAAATAATAGTATTTTATTAGTTAATGAAAATTTTTAAAATATTTTATATTTTTGTCGTATGTATAACTGTATATTTATAATTTAAATAAAAATTAAAAAAATATTTTAATATTACTGTAAGAAGATACTGAAACATAAGAAAATTGTAGAAAGGGTATTGAAATTGGGATGGAGGGAATATTTCAGTACATGTGAGAGAGATGGAGTATAATATACCACTAAAAAATAAAGGTTTGTGCGTTTAGCAAAATCATTTGAAGATATATTTTATTTTGATGTGAAGTATAAATATATATAAAATATTAGTATTTTTTATACAAATATATATATTTTACAGCAATGAAAGTATGAAATAAATAATATTATTTTTATACAAATATAAAAATTTTACAATTTTGAATTGATGATGCATTCAATATGCTATATTTGCCTATGGATTGTCTTATCATGAAATCTCGAATACACACTAATACACACATACATATACATTTATACATACACATATATAAGGTATGTGTATATGGTGTGTACTTCTCTCTGCAAAGTTTTAGTGAGCGAAAATGGCGACATGGGGAAATCTGACTCAGTGGCTTTCCTTGAAATCCAAGAAAGCAAATCCTTACTATATGGCCATAGCAATCGCCCTCTGCTCAATTTCCTACCTAATCGGAATCTGGCATCACGGCTCCAGCGCCGGTGCCGGCGGCATCCTTCTTCCGGCAATACCCTGCACTTCCGAGTCCGGCGCCCCCAAACGCATCTTCCACAACTCCACCGCCAAAACCCTCGATTTCGCCGCCCACCACACCGCCGAAAATCTCACCCCAGTCGCACCGGCGGCGCGTGCAGTCCACTTTCCGCCCTGCGACCCCAAATTCTCCGAGTACACGCCCTGCGAGGACACGGAGAGGTCCCTGAAATTCGACCGGGAAATGTACATCTACCGGGAGCGCCACTGCCCGGAGAAGGCGGAGATTTTGAAGTGCCGGATTCCGGCGCCGCCCGGCTACCGTACGCCGTTTCGGTGGCCGGAGAGCCGGGACTTCGTGTGGTACGCGAACGTCCCCCACAAGCATCTGACGGTGGAGAAGGCCGGCCAGAATTGGGTCCGGTTCAACGGCGACCGGTTCCACTTTCCCGGCGGCGGCACGATGTTCCCCCGCGGCGCCGACGCCTACATCGACGACATCGGAAAATTCATTAACCTCCGCGGCGGCTCTATCCGAACCGCCATTGACACCGGCTGCGGGGTACGTACATTTTCTTGACCGAGCTCCTGGTTTCTAGCACCAGATAAATCTAGGCTGTTCATTTCTTTGAACTCTGCCAAATCGACGGCGTAGATTTATTTGGAGTTGGACACCTCTCCTCTCCCAAAGAAATCACTCACAATTATTATTTCTTTCCATTTATTTAATTGGGTAATATAAATCTTGAATTAAATGATTCATTCTTTGAAATATAATTATTGGATTCCCTCAATATTTATTGGCGGATTTCACTTTCTATAAATTTAGTAAATCTTCTTTAGTCAAGATTTAAATCACTTTGATTTTCACATTAGAGGAGAATGGTAATATTTTCCACTAGAAACCTAATGAAAGCTAATATTGAGTAAAAGTTTGACTATCAAAATTAAGAATTTTATTTTTTTAAAAAAAAATTAAATCTCTATTTCTTACTTCATAGGACCTAATTCAATAGAGGGTACCCATTAATTTTTTTCTTATTTTACACTCCAAGAATGTGATGTTAGTAAGTGATGCAAGCAAGAAAATTTGCTTTGACAAAAAGGGAGTTCAATTCCCTAATTTCCCTAAATTAGCTACAAATTAATTTGGCACTAAGTAAAGATAATGTCTCATTACTCTTTAGGTTTAGTGCTTTTTTTAGATTGAGATCTCCCACATGAAAAATCTTGATATTGACATTAACGTTATACTAATGATCCGAACTGAGTCGAACTTAAATTTTAAATTGTATCGTTAACCGATTTTTTAGGTCGCAAGCTTCGGAGCTTACTTGCTATCTCGGGACATCCTAACAATGTCGTTCGCTCCCAAAGACACGCACGAAGCGCAAGTGCAATTTGCACTCGAGCGAGGGGTACCGGCGCTTATAGGCATCATAGCATCCATTAGGCTACCGTATCCGGCAAGAGCTTTCGACATTGCCCATTGCTCGCGATGCCTAATTCCTTGGGGGCAATACGGTAAATCGAAAAATTTGAATCCCACCCCACCCGATATAATTGAATCTAATCTTTTTGTAATAATTAACATATATTTTCAATTATTCGAGTAGATGGACTTTACATGATGGAAGTCGACCGGATTCTCCGGCCGGGAGGGTATTGGATCCTCTCGGGGCCGCCGGTAAACTGGCAGAGCCACTGGAAAGGGTGGAAGCGATCAAAGGATGAACTGAGGGCCGAGGAGGCCGGAATAGAAAACATCGCCAAAAGCCTTTGCTGGCGAAAATTGGTGCAGAAAAAGGATATGGTGATTTGGCAGAAACCGACAAATCATGAGGATTGTAAGACCAGCCGGAAAATCATCAAGAAGCCGGAATTCTGCCGGAGCCAAAATCCGGACAGGGCCTGGTATACCAAAATGGAGCTTTGCCTGACGCCGCTGCCGGAAGTTTCCAGCGCCGGAGACATTGCTGGCGGAGAGATTGAGAAATGGCCCGCCAGGCTGACGGCGGTGCCACCGAGGATTTTGTCAGGGAGTCTCGCCGGAGTCTCGCCGGCGAGCTTCCGGGGCGACACGGAGCTCTGGAAAAACAGGATTTCGCACTACAAATTAATCGATCCCCGGCTGGTGGAGCGCGGCCGGTACCGGAATATCCTGGACATGAACGCCGGCGTGGGGGGGTTCGCGGCGGCGCTGGCGGCCGCCGGCGAGGCGGTGTGGGTGATGAACGTCGTCCCCGTGGAGGCGGCGAACGACACGCTGGGAGTGATCTACGAGCGGGGGCTGATCGGGACGTATCAGAGCTGGTGCGAGGCGATGTCGACGTATCCTCGGACGTACGATTTGATCCACGGCGCCGGAATATTCTCGATGTACGAGGGGAGGTGCGCCATGGAAGAGATAGTGGTGGAGATGGACAGGATTCTGCGGCCTGAGGGCGGCGTGATAATCCGGGACGACGTCGACGTGGTGGCGAGGGTGAAAGCCATAGCAGACGGTCTGCAATGGGACACACGAATGACGGACCATGAAGGAGGCCCGCTTGTCAGGGAGAAGCTGCTCGTCGCCACTAAGCAGTATTGGACAGCCCCGGGAAGACGATGATGACGTCATATTTCTTTTTTTGGAAAATATAGTATTTTTTAGTTTTTTTTTTTTTTTTTTGGCTATACCGAAGTGAGGATTTTTTTTTAAAAGGAGGAAATGGTTGGATTTTTTTCTAGGAAGTGTACGAAGATATTTTCTAAATCAATACTCTTTTTGTTGTCGTCCGAACAAAAATTATATGAATTTCTTTATATATTACAAATACCATTTATATATATTTACATGGATATGCTCATATTAGTTGTCATAAAAGGTAAAAGAGTTTCAAAGTAAACTATTTTTTTTTTTTAATTTTGCAACTTAAAATTTTTATCATTTTAATCTCGTACCAGAAGTTTGATATAACTAATTTCGTAAGTAAAATTTTTCACAATTTTAGTCTTCAAGCGTCAGAGATACCTATTTGGCACTCATATGGCTCTCCGGATGACACGTGAGCGACACCGGAGAATACGTGGATTTTTATTTTATTTTTATTTTCTAAAATTTTTAATTTTCAAATTGTTTTTGAAAATTTTTATTTTTATAAAAAAAACAATAAATAAATTAAATTTTTTTTTTTATTTTTAAAAACAGATCCATGTACCACAAGTGTTGCGAACTTGGCCGACACGTATCACTGGTGAGCCACACAGGTATTTCCGGCGACGGATGACTAAAAATATAAATTTTTTTACTTACGGGACTAGTTTACCACATATTCCAGTTACGGATTAAAATGATAAAGTATTTACATGATCAAAAATGAGTTTACCCAATAGTTTTTAAAATCACAAACTATAAATAAAATACACTATTAAAAAAAAATACCTATAAAAAATAAATATATAAACTTTTCATTTCAATTTAAAGCACAATTTTTACTATTTTTGTACTCAAAAATACCATTTTTTATTTTAATTAAAATAATCATGCACTAATAAATATTCTTAATTTTTATTTAAATTATAAATATATTATTATATATAAAATTATTTATCTACTACAAAACTTCCAAAAAGTACATTCATAAGGGATGAATGGAAATAATATACTTTCACTCAAATATAAAATACTCTCACCCTTCGTATAATATTACATAAATGTTATCAAATAATAAACATAAATGTTAAGGGTATAATAATCTTTATATATAGTAATTATACTATACATTAATATAATACTAATATACTAAGAGAACAGAGAATAGGAAATCCCAGAGAGAATCCCCCCAAGAGAAAACACACCGATTAGAACTGACCGGGAGAGGAGAGGAAAAAATAGGTTTTAACTCGATGCGGGTCAAATGGGTCGGGTCTGAGTTACAGGGTTTTGGGTTGCATATTGGGTTTTGGGCCAAATTTCAACACTACCCATTTTGTTATTTTAATCCGTCCACAAATCTACCCGTTTTCATTTTCAATAAATATACTTTCACTCAAATATAAAAATACTTTCACCCTTCATATAATATTACATAATGCCATCAAATAATAAACATAAATGTTAAGGGTATAATAATCTTTATATATATTAAGGATAAACTGTTTTTTTAGTCCCGTAATTGGACTCCCTTATCATTTTAATCCCGTAAGTGGAGTCTGTCGCAAACTAGTCCCATAAGTGAAAAATTTTCGCTGTTTTAGTCCTCCGGCGCCGGAGATGCCTGCGTGGCTCGCCGGAGGTGACGTGTCCGCCAGGTGTCGCTGACCTGGCGAACACGTGGATTTTTTATTTTATTTTTATTTTTAAAATTTTTTTTAAAATTATTTTTAATTTTTTTTAAAATTTTATTTGTATTTTTTTTTTATTTTTTTTATTTGATCCAATTTAAAAAAATTAAAAATATTAACAAAATGAAAAAAAAATAAATCCACGTGTCCGCCAGGTGTCGTTGACCTGGCGGGACACCTGGCGGATACGTCACCTCGACGAGCCACGCAGGCATCTCCGGCGCCGGAGGACTAAAACATCGAAAATTTTTCACTTATGAGACTAGTTTGCGACATGCTCCACTTACAGGACTAAAATGATAAAGGGGTCCAGTTACGGAAGTAAAAAAACAGTTTACTCATATATTAATTGTACTATACATTAATATAATACTAATATACTAAGATCTACATACAAAAAATAAATAGATACATTAATAGTGGACGGAGGGAGTTTTTAAATTTTATTTTCTTATAAAATACTCTCTTCGTCCTGTATGTATATATTCATTTAATTTTTACACGAAATTTTAGAAACATTATTATTATATTGGACTTAGTAGCAATAAAGGTAAAAAATTAAACTAACATTATTAATATTGTATGATATAAATGCAATTACATTTATGTAATATATTATAAATTAGAAGGGTATTTGTAATGTTATGTAGATAATACAATTACTAAAAAATGAAATAGATATTTTGTTATAGGACGGACCAAAATGAAAAAATTAATAGATTAGACGGTGGAGTATTATATTAACTATATAAATTTTTAATTATTTTAAAGAATTTTCAAATATTTAAAATTACAAAGAATTCTAGGGAAACAATGGTATGTTTGTTTAGTATTTTATTTTGAAGAAAATTTTCTTGATGTGAAAGTATAAAAATTTGTATATGTAATATAAAAAATAATATTTTATGTTGAATATTAATTTTTATAAGAGAATAAAATATATATTATAAATCGTGTCAAGAAAAATTTATAGCCAAACAAACCCATAATCCTAATACTCCATCCGTCCAACTCTAAGGGTCTCATTTATCTTTTGCGTCATTGTAGTTAATATTAAAAATATTTTTATATTTATATAATTTTTTACGCAAATATCAATATAATAGTATTATAAGATACCAATAGAAATATTTTTATCGTTTTCCCTTAATTTGTACTATATTTTTATATAATAATTAATATTTAAAGATAACACACAAAAAATAAATGAGACTTATTGGACGAATGTAGTATTTTTTATTATTTAATAAAATATGCTAAAAAAACATATTTGAAACATTAACTCAAACATCATTTTAATTTATTACTCTAAAACATCACATTCACAACAAAAACTTTAAGAATCCCAAGCTTCTCTTCTTTTGTGGATCTAGTACAAAATTTTTATAATTCATTTTTTTTAAAAAATATTAAATTAAATACTTATTTTTATATTAATTTATAAATTAAATTTATATTTAAAATATCATATCAATAAAATTTATATTGCATTAAACAACGGCTCAAATTCAAAATTTTACTATTAAAAATCAAACATAAAACCCAATCACAAACAGACACTCCCCAAAGTGTTCTACATGTCATTGAACCATTTGATTGGTATCTAATAATTCTGGCATATTCAATCAATTATATATGCCCTTGTAGCAAAAAACGTTTAATTCTTTATTATTATTTTTTAGCACTATTTATTCGCAATATTATTTATAAAAATAGTATTACATAAGATATTTATTTTATTTTTTTTTAAAAAAAATATTTTATTAATACTTGATTTTTTTATTATTATTTTTTTGAAAAATAATGTCTAAATGGAAGCTTCTATGATGATTTGATCTCCGCCTAACCATTAATGTCTTGCGACGCAAAATTATTGTTGTTAATACGATTCAATCTATCAAACCATAAAAATGATAACAAAACGTTCAAAATGTTAATATAATTAATTCATATTCTCTCGTCTATCATGCTATCAAAATATTTCTTCATGTCTTAATTCAAAGTACGTTTTTTTATCATTTTCGTATGTCACATTTTAAAGTATCTATTTTTTATTTTAGAAAAAATAATAATATATTAATACCTAAATATCCTTAATTTTCACTTAAATTACAAACATATCATTAAAATACAATTACTTTATATAAAAAGTCAAATGACAAAAATATCAAAGATACTTCTACTAACTAATAAAATATTATTATTTCTTAATTCACTACAAAACTCCAAAAGGCCCTTTTTAAAAGGGACGAAGGAATATATAAGGTAAAATAGGGGTTGAAAAGCAAAAAAAAAAAAAAAAAAAAAAAAAAACACCAGAAGGAGGAATATATAAGGTAAATAGGGGTTGAAAAGCAAAAAAAAAAAAAAAAAAAAACAACAACAACGGAATTGAACGGCTGAACCGTTGCATTAAATCCTATCGACTTTTCAATTAAACAAGAAAATTTAATTTAAATACAAATGCTATACATTTAATATTTATTCGGTCCGGTTCAATTTCAATTTTGTAATATTTTTTTATTAATCGGACCGAATATATTTATAATTTATATTATAAATTTTATTTTAACAATCGTATTATGTACATTGTAATTATGAGGAGTGGATTGCATTATTCTATTTAACCCTACCCATAAATATCAAACCCTAATTGCGCCGCAGGCACTTGAAAACGCCGCCGTCGTCTTTCCTAATTGCTATTGTCGTCTTTGTTCTTCTACAGTTCTACGGATTCGTCATCCTTCTAGGCTCTTTTCGATCTCAGACAACTTCATCTTCGTCTTTATTTTCAGGTATTCAACAAATTGTTTTTTCATCGTCATTGTCTTTGTTCAACTCATTCTCTTGTAGGGTATGTTTGTCATTTTTTTGATTTGATAGTTGTTTATTCTTCTTTGATCATGAATGTTGAGATATATTAATTATTTAGTTTTAAATTAGATATATTTGTTTTAAATTTTGTTTTATTCATTTTGTTAGATGTTATGATTTGAGTCTATCGAGTCTATATGTCATACTTATTTATAGATCTTTATCTTCATTATGAATGATATTTACATAATTCCTTCTCATATGGTATCAGAGCTTAATTTTCTCTGAAGTAGATACAATATATCAATTCACGTTTCTCCCGGTACATTCAGGTCTCTCAATTTTGAGATCTTGCCTATAGTTGCTAGTCTTTTTAGAGTTTTGATTTCTGTGTGCGTTTGAATCCGAGAGTCATGTTTGAGTACCATTCTGTGAGTTGTCGTCATTATTTCTCCCACTTCCAGCCATCTCTGATCATCACCTCCATCATTGTTCTCCATCGCCTCGTCTCGTCGTCCTTTATGTCGTGTTTTGCGAGTTTGAACCTTCATCGTTTTGAAAGGATCAAATGAGGTCTCTATGACACTCATAACGTCACACAATCAAGACGATCAACCAATTAAGCGATCAAATCAATCCAAATTTTCACACAACCAGATAATCAACTGAAAACCTAGCAATATGGGAATATAAACAACCATAATAGTAAAAAAAATACAATTTCAAATAGCACACACGATTTATACATTGAAAAATCCTTCAATACGAAGAATAAAAATCGTGGAACCTTTTGAGGGGTCCATCATTTACTTCTTTTATTGATAAATTGAGGGGAAAAATAACTCCAAATCAATCTTCAAATGATTCACAACCCACAACACTGAGAACAAAAAGAGATAAATAACAACAAGAAATAAGATGTATAGGTCACCAAAATCTATTGTCTTATCAAACTGAGTTTCTGAACCAATCGAAGCTCCACCGGACAATCCAACCGTTCAAATAAAGCTTTGATGTTTGACCACGGAAACACCTCTGATAAACAAAATGATCATGGTTGCACACTCAAACCGAAAATCACAAAACTGTTGTTTTTCTCTATTTTTCTCTGCTCTCCTCGACTACATGCACTCCTTCTCTACAAAAACAATATTTTCTCTTAAAACAGCCTTAGAAACAAGTCCCAATATAAATTGGACTAACAATAAAAATATATATATTGTAAAAATGAGTTGGATCCACAACAGACTTCCCATCCAGCCCAACACAAGAAGATGAACATTGTTCAATCATCACTTGAAGTTCATTCGTACAACCTTGACATAGATATCAAGTTTGCTTCAGGGAATTACTTTGGTTAACATGCCTAAGTCATTCTTATATGTATGAATCTTCTTTAGTTTCATCATTTTTTCTTTAATAACATTTCGCAGCCAATGATACCGAATATCAATATGCTTGGTGCGGGCATGACACATGAGATTCTTGCTTAGATATTTAACACTCTGATTATCATAAAATATTTCATAGTCAATTTGCTTCGTACCTAACTCTTGAAGGAACCTATTTAACCAAAGCATTTCCTTACTTGCTCCCACGGCTGCTATATATTTTTCCTCAGTCGTCGAAAAGGCCACAACACTTTTGTAACTTAGATTGCCAAGAAATGGCTCCCCTGGAAAATGTGAACACATAGCCTGAAGTAGACTTTTTACTATCAAGATCACCAGCGATGTCTGCATCAGCATACCCCTCAAGAACATATTTTCTCCCTCCATAACACAAACAAAGCTTGGAAGTGCCACTCAAGTATATGAGAATCCACTTCACTGCATCTCAGAGATTCTTACCAAGGTTGGATAGGAATCTGCTCAGTAAACTAATAAAATGTGCGATATCGGACCTGGTACATACCCTAGCATACATTAATGAATCAACAGCAGAAGAATAAGGAATATAGGACATACTTACTTTCTCTTTCTCTATTGTAGGACTAGCTCTCTTACTCAACTTAAAATGTGATGCAAGTGGTGTACTAACTAGCTTAGCATGTTCCATATTAAATCTTTTATACACCCGCTCAATTTATTTTCTTGAGATAACTATAATTTCCTAGCCTTCCGGTCACGAGCAATCTCCATGCCTAAGATTTGCCTTGCAGGACCCATATCTTTCATGTCAAATGATATCGACAAGTTTTTCTTCAAGTTACTAATCATCACTGAATCTTGCCCAACTAACAACATATCATCTAAATGTAAAAGAAGGATAATAATTTTATCATCTGAGGACTTTCTAAAATACACACAAAGATTTACAGAAGTCCATTTATAATTATTACTCATTATAAACGAATCAAATTTCTGATACCATTGTCTTGGTGTCTGTTTAAGCCCATAAAGACTCTTCTTAACTTGTAAACAAGTTTTTCTTTTCTTTTTTTTCAAAGCCTTCGGGTTGCAACATATAAATTTCTTTATGCAAGTCACCGTGTAGAAAAGCAATTTTGGCATCAAGCTGCTCCAACTCAAAGTCAAGACTTGCAACAATCCCTAAAACAATTATGATAGAAGTCATCTTGACAACAAGAGAGAATATTTCATCAAAATCAATGCCCTTTTTCTGGTTGCATCCTTTTACAACCAATCGAGCCTTTTGTTTTATTGTCTTTTCACCATCTTTTTTTTTTTTTTTTTTAAAGACCCATTTGTTCCTCAAAACTTTCTTCGGTTCACCAACTCATAGTTATGATTCATCTTCAAAGAATTCATCTCCTCTTTCATAGCATGGAGCCAAAGATCTTTATCTTCACTAGAAAATATTTCCTAGAAATTTTTAGGCTCCCCCTCATCATTGACTAAGATATAATATATGCTTGAGTACTTTGTAGAAGGTTTACGATCTCTGATTGACCCTCTAATCTGAACATCATCCATAGGAGGAATAGGTTGTTCCTCCTGCTCATGAACCTTTTCATCCTTTGGTTGAGTATTATTAAGAACATCATCAAACTTTGTTACATCACCACCATTATCAAGTTGAACCTATCAGCACCATCATATTGCGGTACATCACCGTCATCATCAGGTTGTACCTCGTCAACACCACCATGTGTTGCATCAATATTATAAAATTTAGTAGTTCAACAGAAACCAGAATAGGAACATAAGAAATATCATTAGTTTTAATAAACAAATCAGAGTGAGTACATACTTTGCCATAAAAGTTATGCTCCCATTTCCTGCTCAAAGAACACTACATTTCTTCTTCTCACAACTTTTCGCTTGCTGAATTCTAATTATCCATCTTAACACTACCAAAACACTGGTTCTATAATTCACAAAGTATTCTCTTTTAGGAACACAATGGTACGATGCGCCTGTATCTACAAGCCATTCTGATTCTGAACTATTTACATGATAGTATTCACTAATTGCACAAATAAATCAAAGTAACATCATTATTACTCTTAATAGCAGTTGCTGAAGTATTTTTATTCTTTTTTTTTAATCATTTTTCTTTTTCTTTTTTTTAAATCATTCTTCTTTTTTGTTTAGTTCAAACAAAAACAATACTTTTTGATATAATATTTTATGAGATAAAATAATAGTATATTTTTATTGAAAATCATACCAATTGTAATAATAATTAAAAAAATACGATGACGTATTATTTTTGTATTTTTTTAAAAATATACTTTTCATTATTATTTTTTTTTATGTTAAAAGAAGATGTTATATATATATATATATATATATATTGAGAACTTTGCATTTTAGTATTGAAAAAAAAAAAAAATACCACTAAATCTAGCTGTGAGACTAATTTTACTAAAGTTTGAAAATTGTATCTAATATATCATTTTTCTTTAAAATAAAAATAAAGGAAACGAATTGGGAACACTTTTAGTTAAGGAGATATGAAGTGAAACTTTTTCCCTAACATTAATCGTAAGATATATATAATAATTATATATAAAATCTAGAGATATTTGTAGAAATACAATTGTGTCTTTTTTTTTTTTATAATAAATAAACATAGTAAAATATTCAAACCAAAACTAAATCTAAGAAAAATTAAAGCTCAACTACTACAAATAAAAACGCAAACGTCTCTATAAAAATATAATATTTAAATAAAAAAAATTGTAAAAAAAGCACCCTAAATTATTACAAAACCATTATTATTTATGTATTAATTTATTGACTGTAGTTATATTGAATATTCATATGAAATGCTATGCGGTAGCAATAAATTTTATATATTTTTAAAATGTTTATATAATTATTATTATTAGAAATTACAATCTTCGGTCACCATTTGAAATGCACATTAGGTTAATCTCTAATTAAGTGTAATAGTCTTCTCTATCTAAATTATTTTTAACAAAGTAAATTACATTAATCAAATCTTGTATTGCAAACAAAATAATAATAAATAAATAAATAAACCTAATATATGTACTTATATTTTCAATTAAAATTATTAATGTTTTAAATTTGATTTCTTAATAAAATACTTATATAGTACACTTAATATTTAAATAAAAAATAAGTATGTATTAGAGATAATATTTACTGAGAATTGTTAACTTGTTATCTTACACCCTATAATTAAATATATATCGCAAATTAACAATAACAACTATCGAAATTCGCCAATTTATGTCGAATCAAAGTACTTTTTTTTTTTATTACAATTAAAAAAATATATTTTAATATTGTTTGTGTATTTTTTAGGATTAATTTTAATATAGATTTTGGATTAAAATATAATATGTGCAAAACTTATAAGACACATTATTGATATTTGTGTAAATAGATAAAAATAAAAAATAAAAATTAATGAAATAGCTTTTATACTGAATTTATTAATTATTTTATTTTAATGATAATTAATTATAATTTTAATATATAAACTTTATTTTATTTTTAATGTACAGTATTAATGTAAATAAGTATAAATTCACGAGGTAGAAAATAAATATTTTAAATATATATTAATAGTTTATATAAGGTTTATATAAAAAAATAAAAACTATATATTAATCAAAGTGGGCAAGAGAGTATTCGTTTACTATTATAGTAATAATAATAAGAAAATACTTTCCGATAATTTAAAAAAAATGCAATATTAATAATGACGAGATAAAAGGACGCGAGCTTCGGGCACATCAAAGCGGGCGTTACTATTTTTTCAACAAAGATTCCTCTCAGGGTCCGCTATATATATACACAAATGTATGTATATATAATGGCGCAGGAGAGGACAGGGCCCACACAAATTGCCTGCTATTGCCAACACCCGTTGCCTCTGCTGACCTCAGTCACGAACAAGGCCACTGCGATTCCCGGCCACCGGAGACCGTTTCTGCGGCCTCGGCTTCCGCCGCCGGCGGAGCATAATTCTGCGTCTGTCTGCAATTATGGTTTCTGTTTATGAAGGGTGATATGATTTCCTTTCTGCTCTAGTTTGTTTGCCGAGTTTTCTGAGTTTGGGCATTTCGTTTCTCGTTTAAGTGTTGTGTTTTTGGTTAGGGTTCCGGCGTTGGAGATGGAAATCTGCAATCTGTAGTTGTTTGCTTTCGTTTATGGTTTCTTTTTAGGGTTATAATTCTGTGTAATTCCGTTTGTTGTATCATTTGGGGCAGAATTTGTTTGCGCGCTTGTGATTTATTTCGAGGAGGTTGGAATGGTTTCCTTGTTTTCTTGTTTGGTCGCTGATCATGTTTCTGAGTTTGGGCGTTCTACGGTCTCTGTTGTTTTAGCGTTTTTGGTTCGGGTTGTAAGGATGGGGGTGCAGATCTGTAGTGTAGTCTTTAGTTGTTTAATTCCGTTTAGGGTTCTTTCATGTATTAATGTATTGTGTGCTACTGTAATCTCGTCTGTTCTGTTTGAAACGCCATGATTTCACTCACTGATTCTTGCTTATGGTGGCTTGTTTCGTACTTTTTCATTGGAATGTTAGTTCTGATTTGTGCTGATAGCATAAATAAGTAATGCTATGGCTGTTATCTTCACGCTTGATTTGGATTTGTAATCACTGACTGGCTGCAGAATATTGTGAAGAATGGATTCCAGCAAAAGAGTGGAGGCTTCATTCGACTTTCTGCAGATCCTTGGGACTGATATTGGCTTGCATATCATGAATTACGTGAATGATCCTGCTGATGTGGTTCGTGCGAGTATTGTTTCACGCAATTGGCGTGACTTTGGTGAGTGATCCGAGTTGATAGTAATTCTCTGCTTTCTGTTATGAACACCCACCCTTTTTGTTTGTTGCTTTGATTTACCTTAGATTGATGTGATTTACACTGGTTGCATCTCGTGATTCTCTTACAATCGGTACCCTTTTGAAAAGTTCCGACAGGAATTAATGATTCCTGAGGCATTGATCGGCATTGCCACTTTATTAATTGCCTCCAGGGTTTGTTTGTTTGTTCCCAAACTACCTAGTTTCAATTATTGGAAGTCGGAAATATCTTTTAGGGATCAACAATACATTAAGGAGAACTCTTGATGTTAGTTTTGTACTACTCCAAATGATCGTCTATCCTGTATCTTGATATTGAATTTTAGCTTCAACATGTAATCTTTGGATAGATATAATTTAATAACGATATTAATTTCTGTTTGTGATCGTAATTGTGTACTGCTTGTTAAGTGCATAAACACGATTCTCTATGATCGGAAGTAGTGGCGCATCTTCCTGTTAGAAATGTTGAGGCTTATGATGATGTCTATTCTGTTTTCCAGTGGTTACAAATGAATTTGCAAAAGCATTGTGCCTGAAAGCATTCCCCCAACTCGCCGACATTGGTATAGTTCCAGAAACGATGAATCGCCTCAATGATGAAACCAGTGCTGATTGGGAAACTCTGCTGTGGGATCAGAAGATCTATGCATCTCTGCATCATGCTGTCCTGAAATCAGCTAGTCCCCTTAAGGATTGTGTGATAACTGCAGTTAGTGCTTCCAGCACCGACAAACTTCCAGACGAAAGTATTGCGAATACTTTAACTTCAATGGACAGGTATTTTCACAAAGCATCATACTGGTCAAGTAAAGGAACGGCTGATCCTGACGAGCCTGAGACATTGATATATAAATTAAGGCCTGGTGTATGGGTAATTTCTGAGGTTCTCGTTCGTCCATTCGAAGGTGAATTTCTGCGTTTAAATTTTATTCTTCTTATTTTCTTTCGCTCTTCATATCTGCTGGTAATAACGATATTATAATATATTGCCTATTCAGCCTACTTCCAGCCCGGGAACCCTATATACTCTGCACAAGCAGTAAGATTTCGATTGGGCCGTATGAAACCATCGCTGGGTGATGGAAATGACCTCCACCGCTTGCCGATGCCGGCTCCTGCTGACGACAAGTTCATATGGACTTACACATCACCTGAGTTTCCGATGAACCAGGTAAAATTCAGTAAGATCATTCCCTGAAAAATTGAATGCTAGTGGAATACTTATAATCGGTTGTGGAATGCGCCGTGCAGGAGAATTCATTGCAGTCGTTCAAGCTACCGGAGCCGGTGGTTTCTACAGGGGGGTTTATGCTGGTTGAGTTGTTGGGCAGAGTGCAGAGTCAGGGTTCCGACGGGCTATTCTATGTGTGGTGAGTTAATAAACATACTTACAATTCTATTCTGTTATGAATTAGTTTTATGGTCTGTTGTTATGGTGCAGCATCTGTCACGTACGAGCGATGGGACGATCCCTTTCCCCTGCATTCGAGATAGAGTATGTTGGGGCGGGTAGGAAGATGATGTTGAAGCATCGGCCGGAGCATCTGAAGTCGGTTCTGGAAAGCCCTCCGGTGACTGTAAACGCGCGGGCGTGGAACGAGAAGCAGCAATTGTGGTGGGAGGGGTCTGCAGCTGTGGTGCGGCGTGAAATCGACTTTGATTTGCCGCTTATTGGAGAAATGGGCAACGATGGTCCAAGAGAGTTCTTGTGGAGTCAGGACATGGCGAGCTGGCCTCGGGACTACGACGAGGACGAGGAGGAGGAGTGAGTCTGTCTGCTGCTTATCTAAATTATTTATTCCATTCCATTCCATTGCATCCTCAGCGCAACTCTTGTAAGAAGTTTGTAGCCATCTCAGGTCTGGTGTGGGATTTGCTGTTTTTTGTTTTGTTTGGGCGAATGATGATATCAGTTCATAACCGGTAGCTGACTTATGTTATGTTGTTGACTGTTTCGACATTTCTCTTGGACTTGGAGGATGGATGCATTGTGTGTTTTTTTCGAGTTGTTATTATTTATATATATTTGATCTGCTCGAAAGCTCGGATCGTTAAGTTTTAAACTGGAAAAGTCTGGTTGGTCGTTGAAATAAGCTAGGTGGTTCTATTCTCTTTTAAGATGTGTTTGGACAGAAACACCCTTGTTTTCTAGTTTGAGATTCGAGAATTATTATGGTGTGTTTGGTATAATGAAAATGAAATGAGCCTAGATAAATAGAAGTATTCTTATTTTTTCCTTATTTGTTTGAGTTAGAAAAGTTAAATTTCAGAAATAGATAGTTTTTATTTTTCTCGTGTCCGAGAAATTGAGGAAAATGTTATATATATTTACACACGTAGTGTATACATATCTAATATATATATATATCTAATATGTGAATGCGATGTGGATCATTTTATGATAATATTTATGGGTTTCATCCTTCCGTTAATGATATTGAAATAAAATTTTTATCTATTCCTGTCTCAGCCTTCTCTCACTCTCTTTATATATACTAATACATACATATATTGGCATATAAGTAATCATTACATATATATATATATTATTATACTCACACGTCACACACATATATACACTTACCAACATTTATTATATAACATGTTATCTTTATATTACCAACATTTATTATATACATGTTATCGGTATAAAGACTCTTGTCTATTTTATTTTTGGTAAGTTTTATTTTTATACTATCTATATTATCTATTTTCTAAACTATGAAAAATCTTGCAAAATTTTTATCATCTGGACATTCCTTTACAGTCCGAATATTTGACGGTGAAATATCTACTTGATTTGTTGAATGCATTGAGGGAGAGATTTGGGCACTTGAAATATATCACTCTCCCCAAAGCCCGAAATGATTGGCTTAACTTGCGATTGTAAGATGTTAAAATTGTTACAGAGTACAACTCTGTTATCCATCAAATTACATCTCAGTTGAAACTCTGCAGAGAAATTGTTACTGAGAATGAAAAATTGGAGAAGACTCTCTCTACCTTTCATGCTTTTAATTTTGTACTGCAACAGCAGTATCGTGAGAAAAATTTTCAAAAGTACTCACAGCTCATTGCATGTCTTTTATTAGCTGGACAAAATAATGAGTTACTGATGAAAAATCATCAGTCCCGGCCCACTGGTTCCAGTCCGTTCCCTGAAGTGAACATAACATTTTCTGAATGAGATCGAGGACGTGGTAGAGGCCGTGGACATGGGTCGTGGTCGTGATGCGGTCAATATACTCCTTACAATCACCGCGGTTTTGACATTAACAGAAAGCAGGGTAAAACCCAATATAGGGATATAGCCAAAGAGGCTAAACAAGGAAAAAGACAAATCGGCATTTGTAATCGGTGTGGCATTGAAGGCTATTGGGCCAATACATGCAGAACAGCCAAACACCTAGCCGATCTTTATCAAACCTCACTGCAGAAAAAAGGGGAAAGAGGTCGAGACTAATCATGTTGATAACGATGACGACCCTAATGATGATCTTCTGGAGTACGATACAACGCATCTTGATATAGCGAATTTTGTCGTAGATCCAGTAAATCTCCAGTGACAAACATACTATGTCATTTTATATTATGCTATTTCATATTTTGTAATATTTAAGTTATCGCATATTACCTTTTTGTAGTGCATTTTTTATTATATTTCCCTTATTAATAATGCGTTTATTTATATTTGAAGGTTAAATGGATACCAGTCAAAATGATGAAAATATGTATTTCATTGACAGTACAACGTCACATACTATATTGAAACACGAAAAATATTTCTCCTATTTGAAAATGGAAAGAATGAATGTCAATACAATAAGTGGCAGTACAAATTAATTAAAGGCTCTGGAGAAGCCATTATATTTCTCCCCGCGGCAACGAAAATTGTGATATAGTATGCACTATTGGCCACTAAAGCTCGAAGAAATTTACTGAGCTTTCATGACATTCGAAAAAATGGTTATCACATTGAAACTATGAGTGATACCGATGGTGAATTTTTATTGATCACCAATATCATTGATAAAAAGAAATGCATCATTGAGATATTACCCCCACTCTCTACTGGCTTATATTATGCCAGATTAGGTGTTGTTGAAACACACCTCACAGTAGATCAAAAGATCACCGATTTCAAATATGGCATGATTGCCTTGGGCATCCTGACAATATAATGATGAGGCGAATAATTGAGAATTCGCATAGCCATTTATTAAAAGGTAAAAAAGTGTTAAACTCAAATGAGTTAACCTGTATTGCTTGCACTCATGGAAAATTGATAACCAGACCATCGTCAGCTAAAGTAGGTATTGAATCACCTACATTTTTTAAAAGAATACATGGGGATATATGTGGACCAATAGACCCATCGTGTGGGCCATTTAAATATTTTATAGTGTTTATTGATGCATCTACTAGATGGTCACATGTCTGTTTATTATCTACTTGCAATATGACATTTGCGAGATTGCTTGCTCAAATTATTAAATTATGGGCACAATTCTCCGATAATCCAATTAAGATTATACGTCTGGATAATGTTGGTGAATATACATCGAATGTATTTGATGATTATTGTATGTTGATTGGAATTAATTTAGAGTACCCAGTTGCTCATGTTCATACACAAAATGACCTGGTATAATCACTTATTAAAAAATTGTAATTGATTTCTAGATCATTATTGATAAGGTCTATGTTGCCCGTTTCAGCAATCTTACATGCAGGAACACTAATAAGAATGAAATCGACAAACTATCATAGTTATTCCCCTATGCAATTAGTATTTGTCGCGAACCAAATATATCTCATCAACGTATTTTTGGGTGTGTTGTATATGTTCCTATTACACCCCTCCAAACGTACAAAAATGGGTCTTCAACGTATATTGGGCATTTATGTCAGATCTTCATCAATTATAAAATATCTTGAACTTATGACGGGTGATTTATTCACTACAAGATTTGCAGATTGTCATTTTGATGAATCATATTTTTCGACATTAGGGGGAGACAAGAATGAACCAAAAAGGGATATTAATTGGAAAATCTCATTGAAGTGTTGTGATCCTCGTATAAAGCAGTATGAATTAGAAGTTTTACGCATTATACATTTGCAAAATATTGCAAATCAGTTACCGGATGCATTCAATGACTCGAGTAAAGTCACTCGATCATATATTCAAGTTGCTAATGCTCTGACTAAAATAATTGTCCCTGATGGACAAGTTGCAAATGCTAATGAATCAGCGACACGCTTAAAGCGTGGTAGACCACTTAGTTCCAAAGACAAAAATCCTCAAAAGAAACAAGGAATGAATGATGATAATCATGAAAATATCAGGATTAACATTGATAGACCTCAATCTAATGAGGAAGTTAACCATGAAATATCTGCTCCAGAAGAGTACGATCTTGAAGAACATGATGAAACTATTGAAAAATCAATTAACTATGTTACTTGAAGAAAATATTGGAGCCGTAAAGAGACAACCATTGATAATGTCTTCGCATACAGTTTGGCACTTGGTATAATGGAAAAAAACGAGGATCCAGAGCCAAAATCGGTTCATGAATGTCGGCAAAGAAATGACTGGTCAAATGATAAAATGCGATTCAATCAGAGCTTGACTTATTAAACAAAATAGAAGTCTTCGGACCAATTGTTCAAACACCAGATGGTATAAAACCAATTGGATACAAATGCGTGTTTGTACGAAAAGGAAATGAGCATAATGAAATTGTGAGATATTAGCCCGTCTTGTAGCTCAGGGATTCTCACAAAGACCTGGAGTAGATTTTGATAAAACGTACTATCCAATTGTTGATGGAATAACATTTAGATACCTTGTGAGCCTAGCAGTGCGAGAAAAGCTCGATATGCGTCTTTTAGACGTAGTTACTGATATTTATATAAAAGTTCCCGAATGATTCAATATGCTTGAAGCATACAAATTAAACTCAAAGGAATCATATTTCATCAAATTGAAAAAATCATTATATGGACTTAAACAATCAGAGCGAATGTGGTATAATCGTCTCAGTGACTGTTTAATAAAAGAAAGTTATACTACTAATACAATATGCCCATGCGTCTTTATCAAGAAAAATGAATCAAATTTTGTCATTATTGCAATATATGTTGATGATTCCAATTTAATTGGAATTTCAGAAGAGATTCAAATTACAATTGAATATCTAAAGAGAGATTTTGAGATCCAAGATTTTGGAAAGATAATATATTGTCTGGGATTACAGGTAGATCATATTAATAATTGAATATTTATCCATCAATCCACATATACCCAAAAGGTATTAAAACAATTTTATATGAATAAATCTCACTCTATGAGTACACCAGTGGTGGTCATATCCCTTGATCCCAAGTAAAGACCCATTTAGGCCAAGAGAAGAAAATGAAGAAATACTTGGCCCCGAAGTACCATATCTCAGCGCTTTCGTGCATTAATGTACCTTGCAAATTGTACCAGGCCAGATATATCTTTTTCAGTAAATCTACTGGTCAGGTTTAGCGCACCCCCCACAAAGCATCATTGGAATGGTATCAAACACATTTTTCGTTATCTTCAGGGGACTCATGACCTCGGTTTATTTTATTCGAGTGAATCTGTATGATCCACATAAAGCAAAATCTCAGACTGGCTATTTATTTACTTATAGTGGAACAACAATCTCTTGAAGATTTGTTAAACAAACGATAACAGCTACTTCTTCAAACCATGCTGAGGTTTTAGCAATTCACGAAGCCAGTCGTGAATGCGTTTGGTTAAGGTCTATGACTCACCATATTTAGAAAAATTGTGGCTTGATTATCGAGGATATATTGCCTCCTACAATATTATTCGAAAATAATGCAGCTTGTATAGCTCAATTAAAGGTATGATATATTAAAGGCGATCAGACAGAACACATATCCCCGAAATTCTTTTTCACTCACGACCTTCGAAAGAGTGGCGAAATTAATGTGCAACAAATTCGA